CAAAATCATCTTTCAGTTTATTCTCCATATTTCTACATCTACTCAACACCCGTCTACCAACAAGTGGACTGCTAACTTCTTGTTTGGCACCTAAGATTTGAGCAGGATGACAATCTCTCTGCCCAGATAACTCTCTTCTATCAAATAACATAATCTTCAGCTGTAAAAAAAACGAGACAGATTTCAAAAAGCATGTTGGATGTATCGCGTTCTATTGGAAGTTCAAATAAAAGCGTTATTTCAATTTTGTGTGCTGCTAGCTTTTTTTTTACTCAGGCTTCCTACACTTACCAAAATTAAATGCTTCTTTTGAGCTAGCCGAAAATGTGGTTGCAACCACTGGAGTAATGCAGTGTGTGTGCAAAGGTCTAAAGCTACTGCATGTGTTTTAAGGAGGAAGATTCTCTCCCCTTCTAATCTTTCTCTCCTTCTTTCTCCTTCTATTTGAACAGTTACGATTTGACCAGGTCAACATTTTATATTGATTTTTTTATAAAGACAATAAGACAAAAAGCAATATGTGAAAGGAAATGAGAGAAATGGATGAAAATAAGAGGGAAGAGAGTCCTACTCCGTGTTTTAAAGGGCGTAAAGACTTTTGAACTTCTTCATTTATTTTTCATGTTATGTCGTTGTTTTGTATTGTTTATTAAAAACCGCTTGTGTGGTTCTTTCTTTTCTGCACATACAAGTCAGTCTTCCCCGTAAGGCTTTAGGGGTCTAATCCCATTCTATCTACAAGGAATCAGTTTGTAAACTCCTTTAATATATCAAAGTATTGTCATCATAGAAGCTTGCTGCTTCCTTTCTCTTTTATCTTTTCTGTCCAATTTCATTGAGAGTGAACATGAGACGTGTGATAGAATTCGTAAACTTATCACCTACATATTTATTGAGTTAGTTAACTTTCAACACCAACTAGTCCATCAGTATCCGCGTGACCAAAAATTATATTATCCAAGCGGACAACATCAGCAAGTCACGTCAGATTTGACAAGAACTTTTTTCACTCTTTCAATAAGCAGGGAAGTAACTCAACTTAATTTGTCACTGTTAAAGTACGTAGAGTAAATAATGACAATGTTATATGGATGAACTCTGGGGCTTAAGAATATCAAACCTGAGGAGTGCTGTTGAAATCGCCACAAAGGACAACAGGGGCATTACCTCATCTCTCCGAAAGGATTTTCGCCCTCGATATGAGAAGATGTATCTGGAAACAAAATGATATATAGACCTTGTTCATCAGTGTCAGGGAACAGACATTTTGCTTTATGCACTAGGAAATGAACATGAATGTAAAAGAAGGTACCTGGCCTAATTTTACTTCCCCTCGGGTTGGGTTATGAAGCACGTGGATGTTACCGATCAGTAACTTTCTTGATTCAGCTTTTTGCATCTCAACTGTCTCCCCTTGACGGGGTTGTACCACAGGCGACTAGTGTCGAACGAGTAGACGACGATGATGAGGAGGAGGACGAGTCTTTGGGAGCGGTAGTTGGTAAGGTTGTTGCGACGAACACATGGCCCCCACAGAGCCAAGGGGAAGCATCGCACCGCATCGTAGAGGATGAGGTGGTGTTGCGCGGACGTGTGAGTGTCTTACGATTTAAAGGGATATTTGAATTGGATTTGCCTATCTTCTTAACTTCTTGACTTTCGACTTCCAAATCCCTATTGCTTATGAAAACTGTGGCGCCACTGTAATTATTTTATGAGCTGGTTTTATAGGAAAATGAATTTCACACACTTAATTGGTTATTTTTAACCTTGTCTTTACTCTTCATTCTTAATAATTCTGAATTGCAATGATGAATCTTGTGAACGGGATTCAGTTCTTAGAGCAGCGATGTTGTGGTTATTTTCTCTGAGGGGTACAATAAAGAGAGGAAGAGAGAGATGAACGGCTTGAGGAATTCTCAGTGTACTATTTCTCATGTCTTGTCTTAAGAATTTTATCGAGGCCCATTGCATGCACCATAGTACACGTGCCGTCCTCCGTCAGCCACCGCTCCGGCAAATACTCGCGGCAGTTATTCCCCCATATCCTCTCCATCCACCCCATCGCTTAAGCATGGTATGTAACCAACCACCCTCCCCACGACCATACCGTCCAGCCAGACGTCGTCATTTAGACATGCCTTCGAGTCGACTGGTACGGGTGGGTACAGCCGCATCGCCGTGTGCAAATAGTGCATGTCTCGGAGCTCGTCCAAATCATAAATATCGCCGACACGTTTCCTATTTACTGTTCAGGTTAAATGTGTCTTATTCATGCAGTTATGTCTAACAGGGAGCTTATTTTCTAGTTACATCTAATACACCTACTTTATCGGTGGGCTTATTTTAATTTCTAGTTACATCTAATACACCTAATCACATCAACTCCCTTAAGTCAAGGGAAGATAGCTGGAAGAGAAAAAAGAGAAACCAGACAAAGGTTAGGTTACACACTTTACACTTTACACACTTTACACTTTTACTATAAAACACCTCCTTTGAGTTCATGAGCAAATGCCCCATTTCTCTCACACAGAAAGCCAGAATGCTTCCTTCAGCAATATCCATCCTCCTACTCTTCCTTACATTCCTTTGGTATCTCATCCACATCCTGACCACTGCCTTCCAGAGGCCAAAACACCGAAAGCAGCTGCCAGGGCCTTGGGCACTACCAATAATTGGTAACTTTCATATGCTAGGCAACCACCCACACCACAGCCTCCAACACTTGGCCAAAAAATATGGCCCCATAATGTCCATTCGCCTCGGCTTGGTACCCACCATAGTGGTCTCATCTCCTAAAGCTGCAGAGCTGTTCCTTAAAACCCATGACACCGTCTTTTGTAGCCGCCCCAAACTCCAAGCCGCTGAGTACATATCGTATGGTATAAGGGGTATTGCCTTTACTGAATATGGTCCATACTGGCGCCATATTAGGAAGCTTTGCACGATGCAGCTTCTTTGTCCGTCAAAAATTGAGGATTTTGCTCCGTTAAGAAGGGAGGAGGTGGGGTTGTTGGTGCAGTCGCTAAAGAAAGCCGCGGAGGCAGGTGAGGTGGTGAATCTTAGTGAAAAGGTCGGTGAGCTTGTTGAGGACATAACATATAGGATGGTATTGGGGAGTAAAAGTGATGATATGTTTGATATCAAGACAATTATTAGGGATGTCATGTCCGTGCTAGCTTTATTCAATATTGGCGATTATGTGCCTTTCCTCAGGCCACTGGATATTCAGGTACGCAACATGCTATGCATAGTCGTCTCTGACGTAGTTTATGCAACATTACATTATTTGATAATCATTTAATTTTGTGTTTTTAGTTTTCCACTTTTTTGCTCGATATATTTTATGTATACTCTTCCCATAAATCCCTCCCACCACCATTTTCCCCACATTATTTTTTCCCCTTCTCTATCTTTAAAAAAAAAAAAAAACCCTAAAACCCCAATTTATATGATTATCAAATAGGTCTTAAGATTACTTATCATGCATATATTAACCTTTTCTTCTTCTTAGGGATTGACCAAACGCAATAAGAGAATTAGCAAGATAGTCGACCAACTTTTTGAAAAGATAATATGGGAACATGAACAAGTTTCTAAGAGTGAGCAAGTACAAGGCCATCATCATCACAAGGACTTTGTTGACGTTGTGCTTTCATTAATACACCAGCCATTAAATCCCAACGATGAGCAAGGCTACAGGATTGAACGAACAGATGTGAAAGCCATCTTACTCGACATGATTACGGGTTCCTTTGACACTTCAGCTACCGCAATTGTTTGGAACCTTGCCGAACTGTTGAGGCACCCGAGGGTGTTGAAACATCTCCAAGAAGAGCTCCAACGTGTGATCGGAACAGACCGAATGGTGGAAGAGAGCGATCTGCGAATGTTAAGTTACTTAAATGCGGTGATCAAGGAGAGCTTTAGACTACACCCAATTGCACCATTTTTAGTTCCTCGGGAATCCATGCAGGACGTTACGGTCGACGGATATTACATACCTAAGAAATCGAAAATTCTAATAAACACTTGGGCTATTGGAAGAGATCCTAACGTTTGGTCGGATAATGTGGGAGAATTTTATCCTGAAAGGTTTATAAATAGCAATGTTGATCTTCGGGGGCATGACTTCCAGCTTCTACCCTTTGGGTCTGGCAGAAGAGGTTGCCCTGGTATGCAATTAGGGTTAACCACAGTTCGGCTGGCTCTGGCAAACATTGTCCACTGCTTTAACTGGGACCTTCCAAGTGGCCTCCTACCTCAAGACTTGGACATGACTGAGACGTTCGGCTCGGTACCGACAAAGCCCAACCACTGCTCGCCATGCCGACCTACCGCCTGGAGACTAAATAGACGTTTATCCGTTTTCTATCGATTTATTAAATGCTGTAAGAAATTATATCAGGTCGGGTGGCTTGAATAAATGTACGTGTCCTACATGTGATGCATGTTGAGACTTCTATTGTAACTGTACTGGAATTTTTTTAGTGTGCTAAGAACACGGCTTACTATACTAAGTGTCACAATACAAATGGTTGGAAATTCTTTTTTCAAGTATCCAACCACTTGTATTATGACACTTAGTGTATCAAGCTTCACTAGTACAAAAAACAGTTTGTGCGACGCAGGTACTATCATCGTGCAAAGTCAAAAAACATTGCCTGAAAATTAGCCCAACGACAACTTTGTCGCGCACAAACCGTCGCGCAAAGATCATGACAGCGGGGTTTGCACGACGAAGAAGTAACTTGCGTCGCTCAAAATGCTTTTGCGCGACGATAGTACCTGCGTTGCGCAAAAGGTCTTTGCGCTACGATAGTTCCTGCGTTGCACAAAGACCTTTTGGGCGACAATAGTACCTGCATTGCGCAAAAGATCTTTGCGCGACGCATGTTACTTCTTCGTCCCACAAACCTTTTTTTTTTCTTTTTCGAAAAAATATTTTTAATTTAATTTTTTATAAATATTGTAATTAAATTATAAACACTAACTAATAAACCAAGAAAAATTATTTAATTGTAAAATATATGAAAATGTACTTACAAGATGTCCGAACATAAAAGAAAAAACTACAACAAGTAGTCGTCTAGGTTTGATACATCAGATTACTGGGTATCAGCTGGGCAAAGTGGCTGGGAGGTCGAAGGTGGAGCAAGATCAGGTGCTGGCATCAAGATTTGAAGGCCGGACATTTGTAAGGCCTGTAAAATCATACTCACCTTCTCGTCCTAGGCCGATAATTGGGTTGCAATATGGGCTTCCCGGGCTGCTTCTTGGGCCGCAATCTTACCTTTTAGGGTTTCCACTTCCTTCGTTAGAGCGATAACCTGTCCTATGGTCGATCTGGAAAATGAGGCACCCGTCTCACGAACCCGCGTCTTCCTTATACCCCGAACAACCTTGCCATGACGACAATTGAGATTCTGATCCAGGATATCAGTCAATATCTAAAGACCTGCATCCTCGGGTACAGTGACATCCTCAATCAGGGTGTCCAAGGGAAGCTCCGATTCTGCTTCTTGGAGAACAACAGTGTCTTTCTCCACTATAACAGCCTGTAATAATAAAGAAAAAACATTTAATATTTAATTAAAAAATGTAATTAATATTTGAACCTCAATCATTTTGAATAGCAAAAGACGCACAAGAAAAACCCAAACATGATTTACAGAGAACGGCAAATTACATCTTTTGCCGTGTGAAAGCAATTTCATGTGGAGTACCTCAAAATCATTAAACTGTGAGGAAATAGAAATCTCAGTTCGAGCAGCTCCATTTTAATTGTAAAATGTATTAGTCATAGATATGCTTGACTCAAACAGTTGCATATTCTGACAAATGTGACGTAAAAGCTTCTTTTATGCATTTCCAGGATAACAATCCATTGACTATAGGTTTAAACTGCCCAGAAAGAAAGTGAGTAAAACTCTAAAAATGTTTGCAGTTTCTCAAAAAATGAAAATGTCTGCTGCAGTGAAGAATAACCTATGGATCTGGTTATCAAGTTATCAAACATGTTATTATCTTAATGCACGTCAATTAAGAAACTATAAAGTAAGTTAAAAACATTGCATCTTAGGCGTACTAACAACCTGAACATGTATAAGGATTTCTTCTTGCGGCATCCAGCTTGTAATGTAATTTCCTTTCAAGGGGATCATTTGAAGGTACAAACTTGGATGGGCGGGGAGCTACAGCAGCTAGTCCAAGCTTGCAAAATTCAATAAAGAGTTCTGCAGAAAGTCAATAATGTCTCAATAACAGCCAATATTGGCAACTAAAGATAATTATATTCTCTTAAACCCAAAATAGATAAATAAATCAACCTGCCTAGCAGGTCAAGCCTGTATTTCAAATGGCTCATCTTCTGCAGGTTCACTCATGGTATTTATTAAGCAATTTTTTAGCCTGCACATCAGTCAATTTTCATGCACAAAGAAAGTTAGCTTTTGAACATCAACGAAAGGATTAACATCAACAGCATTGCAAAGAACCGTAAAGTGCTTAAACTCCATGACACCCCATTCATAAGGATTTTCGACCAGATTGCTATGACATCACTGGCAAAACTAGATACTCTTAACTAAAAGATTACAAAGATACCACATTGATGTTAATTTTGTTTATCCCCATAAACAAATAAAAATCATATAATCGTCAGAGTTCTCATGTACTCAACACAATCTCATTTAAAACAACCTGGGGAGGTTTCAAATTAGTTCAAAATTGAACCCCATTCTTTTCTTGTCTAACTCCAGGAACATCCCGGACTCCACTACCTATGATGGTCCTGATCAGATTATTATTGGTAATGGAACAAGTCTGAGTATTACACATGTTGGTTCCATATCACTCTCTTCTTCCTCTACCACCCCATTTCACTTAAATGATGTCCTGTATGTTCCTTCCATTTCTCATAATATTATTTCCATTGCCAAATTTAATAGACAAAATGCAACCTCAACAGAATTTTTTCCTTATTTCTTTTTGAGGAGTTTTCTTCCGATATATATGATGCTGCCTCAAAAACGTATGAGCAGTATGATGGACTCATCCAACCACGGCATGTCTTTCAAACTTCTTGTCATTGCAATAAAAGCCCTAAGCTCCCGTTTGGTCATTCTACGCTTGTTAGTAAGCGTCCCCTTGAACTAATTTATAGTGATGTATGGGGTCCTGCTCCCTATTTATCTACTGATGGTTTTTCATACTATGTTATCTTTGTAGATCATTTCACGAAATATATTTGGTTTTATCCCATGAAACACAAATCCGATGCTTTCTCAATCTTCACAACCTTTAAAGCTCTTGTAGAAAACTACTTCCACACCAAAATAATCACCTTTTACTCTGACGAATGGGGAGAATATGTTAAACTCAAGCATTTTCTTTCCACAAATGGCATCATTGACCTCACCACTCCTCCACATACTCCCGAACACAATGGTGTTACTGAACGCCGCCACCGCCATGTTGTCGAAACAGGGTTAACACTTCTCCACCAAGCATCCTTACCCCTAACTTATTGGTCGTATGCTTTCAAAACTGCTGTGTATCTTATTAATAGGATGCCCACTCATGTTCTCAATAATATCTCTCCATACAAAGCTCTCTTTGGTGATCTTCCTAACTACATGAAACTTCGTGTGTTTGGTTGCTTATGTTTCCCTTGGTTAAGACCCTACAATTCTAACAAGCTTCTTCCTAGATCTCGTCCATGCCTCTTTCTTGGTTACTCCTCTACTCAAAGTGCTTATCTATGTCTTGATCTCCCTTCCCGTCGTATGTTTGTTTCCCATCACGTTCGATTTGACGAAAACACTTTTCCTTTTTCTTCTTGTGACTCTGTCATCCCTCCAATTCCTTCCCCTGACTCCACTGCATGGTCTGCTCTCACTCCAGCAGCTATCTTCATTCCTACTCACATTGCCGAGGTACCACCGGTTCCATCACACACCTCTTCTTCTCAGCATGCTGCCACTCATATGTCTTCGGAGGTCTCGGAGTTGTGTCTCTCCCCTGCACCATCACCACATCATCTCATACCCACATCTATCACTCCCTTACCCTCACCACCACCACCAAATAATTTCAACCATCACCCCATGACCACCCGAGCCAAAAACAATATCTTTAAACCTAAACAACTTTGCACTGCCACCAAATACCCACTTCCTTCTCCCATTGAACCAACATGTGTTTCTCAGGCTATCAAAGATCCTCTTTGGCGTGCAACCATGTCCGACGAGTTCAATGCGTTAATCCGCAATGGCACTTGGGAGCTTATTCCTCCTCAACCTTCACAGAATCTTATCGGGTGCAAATGGGTCTTCCGCATCAAATGACATTCTGATGGCAGCATTGATAGGTACAAAGCATGCCTTGTTGCTAAAGGCTTTCACTAACGTCCTGGCGTGGATTTCTTAGACACCTTCAGTCTAGTTGTCAAACCCACCACCATCCGTATTGTTCTTCATTTGGCTCACTCATGGTTGGCCTCTTCGTCAATTAGACTTGAACAATGCTTTTTTGCATGGATCACTCTCTGAAGATGTTTACATGGTACAACCCCCCGGGTTCGGTGAATCTACTGTTCCAACACATGTCTGCAAACTCCATAAAGCTTTATATGGCCTCAAACAAGCTCCCCAATCATGGTATAAGAAGTTAAGCACCTTTTTGCTCAATCTAGGATTTGTCAATGCCATCTCAGATACCTCTCTCTTTATTTTTCGTCTGGATAATGATGTGATCTTCCTTCTAGTTTATGTTGATGATCTTGTTATTACAGGAAATAATACCAGGCTCCTCTCTACGTTCATTCAAGCCTTGGCAAATCGTTTTTCTGTCAAAGATTTGGGGAACCTTCATTATTTCCTTGGGGTTGAAGTGATACCCACCACCACGGGTTTGTTTCTTTCTCAACATAAATACATCCATGATCTTCTCGCTAAAGCTAAAATGGATGGTGCTAAGGATGTGACCACACTAATGGCTACCTCTACTCCTTTGATTCTCTCTGATGGCTCTCCTCTCACTGATGCTACTACTTTTCGACAACTTGTTGGAGGTCTCTAATACCTCAGTTTCACCCACCCTGACATCTCATTTACCGTCAACAAACTCTCACAATTCATGCATCAACTAACTGAGTCTCATTGGCAAGCCTTGAAACGTCTCATCCGCTATCTGAACGGCACTATTTTTCATAGCATTCTCTTCCGCTGCAGTGCCTCATCTCGTCTATATGCCTTCTCAGACACTGACGGGGCTGGTGATCGTGATGATCGTAAGTCTACCACAGGTTATGTCATTTATTTGGGTGGCAACTTAATCTTTAAGAGCTCTCGCAAACAACGTTCTGTCGCTCGATCGTCCATGGAAGCAGAATACCGCGCCATAGCCTCTACTACTGCTGAACTAGCTTGGCTTCAATCCCTTCTCCATGAGCTTGGTGTCTCCTCAATGAGTAAGCCAACCATTTCCTGCGACAATATTGGGGTAACTTTTTATAGTGTCAATCATGTTCTTCACTCTCGCATGAAGCACATTGAACTTGATTTTCAGTTTGTTCGTGATCGAGTCAATCGCGAGCTTCTTCAAGTGTCACATGTTTCTACTCAGGATCAGCTTGCAGACGTCCTCACAAAAGCTCTTCCTCGTCCACCCTTCCAATTGTTACGATCCAAGATCGATGTCTCTGACGGGACCACCGTCTTGTAGGGGCGTAAAAGGGAATCTTCTTCTCAACACATTGATTGCTTATCCGCTAGCCTTTCATGATTACTTCCATTAGTCATGTCTTTCATGATTGTGTCTAGTCCACTAATTGTCCATTAGTCTTTCATTACTATTTCCATTAGTTGTTGTCCGCTCATTTGGCTCCTATAAAGAGCAACTACTCTATTGTAAATCATTTAATACAAACTGAATATACATTCATACTCACCTTACGGCATTAGGTTTTTATTTTTCTTCTAAGTTATAATATCTTCATGGTAATTTGGTTTTTGCATGTAGCTATACTGCTATAGTATACTGAATAATTAAAGAACCCATGTTTCACCTCTATTGTTTGACCCAACTTTAAACACTGGATTGCCAAACCCTTCGATCGATGATGACATATTGATAGATAAATTAAAGACCATAGTCTAATCAAAATGACAATATACCGAATCTATCGGAACACTTGGCTTAGTTTATGACATCCCACATCGCCCAGGGGAGTGGATCCTGTAAGCCTTATGTGTATATTCTCATATCTATCTAGCACGAGACCTTTTGGGAGCTCACTGGCTTCGGGTTCCATCAGAACTCCGAAGTTAAGCGAGTTCGCGCAAGAGCAATCCCATGATGGGTGACCCACTGGAAAGTTCTCGTGTGAGTTCCTAGAAACAAAACCGGGATGGCGTGGTCGGGGCCCAAAGCGGACAATATCGTGCTACGGTGATGGAGCGGGCCCGAGATGTGGTGGACCCCGGACCGGGGATGTGACAATTTTGTATTATAGCCAATCCCTGGCTGGAAATGTGCCGACGAGGACGTCAGGCCCCTAAGAGGGGTGGATTATGACATCCCACTAGGGGTGGGCACTTGGAACCGAAAACCGAAACCGAAACACGAATCGAATCAAACCACACCAAACGGTTTGGTTTTGCGGTTTTGAAACGGTTTTGGTTTCAAAACCGAACCGCGGCACACAAAACGGTTTGGTTTCGATTTTGGGTTTTCAAAACCACACCGAAACCGAAACCGCACCATATAATAAATGTTATATAACTTATATTTTAAACTTTTCAACTAGGTTATAACTTATAGGTTTGTATTATGGCAAACTTAACCTTTCAATTGTGTTGTAAAGTATTGTGATTGGTGATCAAGTTCATTTTAGTAGATGTCATGCATAAGGATTTAAAGTTTAAATCCTTTGATGCATTGGATGTTGTCTCAATTTTAGTAATTGTCATTTGTTGCAGTTTTGGTACAAGTTTGGTACAAGTTAGCTGCACTTTTGGTGCAGATTTTTGGTTCTGTTTTGTGCAGTTTTTTGGTGCAGTTTTGGGGCTGTTTTGGTGCAATTTTTTATGCTGTTTTGGTGCTGTTTTTTTATGCAGTTTTGCTGCATTATTTTTTAGTGCAATTTTGTGCAGTTTTTGCTGCTGTTTTGTGCAGTTTTTGCTGCTGTTTTTTATGCAGTTTTGCTGCAATTTTACTGCATATTCATTAATTAATATACGAGGAAAATAAGACCGTCTTATGCATAAATAGGTGTATATTTTAAATTACATTTTTTTCTAAAAAACCAAACCGAAACCGTTTGAAACCGCACCGCACCGAACCGAACGGTTTGGTTTCATTTCGGTTTTGGCTTCAAAACCGCACCGCACCGCACCGCAAAATGTTTCGGTTTCGGTTGTGGTTTCATTCGAAACCGCACCAAACCGCACCGCGCCCACCCCTACATCCCACATCGCTCTGGGGAGTGGATCCTGTAAGCCTTATATGTATATTCCCATCTCTATCTAGCACGAGGCCTTTTGGAAGCTCACTGGCTTCGGGTTTCATCGGAACTCCGAAGTTAAGTGAGTTCGCCCGATAGCAATCCCATGATAGGTGACCCACTAGAAAGTTCTCGTGTGAGTTCCTATAAACAAAACCGTGAGGGCATGGTCGGGGCTCAAAGCGGACAATATCGTGCTACGATGGTGGAGCGGGCCCGGGATGTGGTGGACCCTGGGCTGGGATGTGACATAGTTGACGTAGCAAGAAGCAATCAAAAGGGTTACTAACATAATCTATTAAAGAATGAGGTCTGGAGTGTACCAAAATTTTGAGAGAAATCCCAAAGGGTTAAAAATGATTAATAATTGAATAATTACAAAACTAACATAATCTATTAAAGAATGAGGTCTGGAGTCTACCAAAATTTTGAGAGAAATCCCAAAAGGTTAAAAATGATTAATGATTGAATAATTACAATTTGTAATCCGATGACTTAAATAAAAGATATAACCTCTCGGAACAACTCAAAATATGTTGATAATTAAAAACAACATTAATCAGACAAAAATGAAAGGTCTAATTTTTATTAAAGGCTAAACGACATCAAATGGCCAAAATCCATCATATATAATCACAAAGCAATGTGTTCAACCGTGGCATCGTTCCCCTCCCGAAAATGTATCACGGGCCCAAATCAGAGCTCGGATGCCAAATCTGCAAATTTCCACCTCATCATTTTGTCTTCCGGCTGTCCATGCTGAAGAAAGTTGGGGTTTCACTATTAACCAATTGGCAATATGCGAAATAGCTCAACTTCTTATAAGCCTATACAAGGTCTCTCCTCCCGTCAATGTGGGACTCATTATTCCCTCCTCATGTGTGAAGAATTTTCAAGCCTAACACATGGACTACACAACGGGGTGACGTGGAGCTTATGTGGTCGTTTGGCTTCCTTTTGTCTTCCGACGGTCCATTTTGAAGAAAGTTGGGGTTCCACCATAAAACCAATTGGCAATATGGAGAGTAGCCCAACTTCTTATAAGCCCATGCAAGGTCCCTCCTCCCATCAATGTGGGGCTCATTCTCAACACGCCCCCTCACACGTGGACAACACAACAGAATGACGTAGAGCTCGTGTGGCCGTTTGGCTTCAGACATGGGACAACTTGTTATGATACCATGAAGAAAGTTAGGGTTCCATCATAAAACCAATTGGCAATATAGGAAGTAACACAACCTCTTATAAGCCCATGCAAGGTCTCTCCTCTCATCAATGTGGGACTCATTCTCAACACTTCCTTCTTCAATCCATTCAGCCATTTGTTCTAAACAAAACCATTAACATTAAGCAAAGAGTTGTTGTCTGGTTAGTGTGTATATATATATATATATATATATATATATATATACATCAAACACCTCCTTTGAGTCCATGAGAAAATGTCTTATTTCCCTCAAATAGAAAGCCAGAATGACTCCTTCAGCAATAGTCATCCTCCTACTCTTCCTTACCTTCCTCTGGTATCTCATCTATATCCTAACCTTTGGATTCCGGAGGTCGAAACACCAAGGAATACTACCTCCTGGCCCTACAACACTACCAATCATTGGTAACCTTCATATGCTAGGCAACTTTCCCTACCGCAGCCTCCAACACTTGGCCAAAAAATATGGCCCTATAATGTCTATACGCCTAGGCTTCATACCCACCATAGTGGTTTCATCCCCCAAAGCTGCAGAGCTATTCTTGAAAACCCACGACAGCGTTTTCGCTAGCCGCCCTACGCTTGAAGTCTGTGATTACTTTAAAAGAATTGTGCTCGGTTATTTGAGCTTCTTTTCATTTTCTGTTTATATAGATCTTTACAAGTATAGTTAATTAGAACTTTACAGGTGTTTCTGCATCTGAGTGTGGGCAGCATTGTTTAATACATGCGTGGGCAGCTTTGTTTGTCCATTTGTTTAATGCATGCGTGGGCAGCATTGCAGAGTCATTCACATGGCTTGGTCTGAGTATGGGCAGCATTGTTTAATGCATGCGTGGGCAGCTTTGCAGAGTCATTCACATGGCTTGGCAGCTTTGCAGAGTCTTTGACATGGCTTAGTTTATCACACCCCCGCAAGCTGAGCGGTTGCCGGCGAACGGGAAGCTTGGAAAGAAGATAATTGAAACGAGAAGTGGACAGTCCTTTGGTCAGGAAATCAGCAAGTTGATCTTGCGTAGCAACATAACCAACTTGTAATTCCTGGCGTGTGACCTTTTCCCGAATGTAATGATAATCGACTTCGACATGGCGAGTGCGGGCATGAAAGACAGGGTTTGAGGCAAGGGAGATTGCAGAAATATTATCACACCACACCTTTGGAGGAGATAGATGAAGATGCAGGTCTTGGAAGAGCTTACGAAACCAAGAAATAGTAGCTGCAGTTATGGCAAGTTGTCTGTATTCTGATTCTGTGCTAGAGCGAGACACTCCCTTTTGTTTCTTAGAACTCCAGGACACAAGGTTTGGACCAAGAAATATACAGTACCCGCCAGTGGATTTGCGATCATCCGGATCTCCTGCATAATCAGAGTCGGCAAAGGCAGTGAGGGTGAGAGCTCCAGGTGTATACACAAGGCCATGATCTGGTGTGGACTTCAAATAGCGAAGTATTCTTTTAACAGCAATCCAGTGTGTTGTGGTTGGTTGATGCATGAACTGGCAAACCTGGTTGACAGAGAAGGCAATATCAGGACGGGTGAAAGTGAGATATTGGAGTGCACCCACTACACTCCGGAACTTAGTAATATCTTGTAATGGTTCGCCGTCATAAATGCTGAGACGTTTGCCACTGACTGCAGGAGTGGAGACAGGTTTACAGTCCACCATGTTTGTACGTTGAAGCAAATCAGAAATATATTTAGACTGTGAGAGATGAATGCCATTACTAGAGCGATGAACCTCCATACCCAAAAAATAATGGAGAGGACCAAGATCTTTCATTGAAAAAACCGAGTCCATGTCCTTGATCAAGGTGTTTATACACTGAATGTTGTTGCCTGTGATAAGAATGTCATCTACATAGATTAATAAGTAAATACGAATTAAACCATGACAATACACAAAGAGAGATGAATCTGCTTGGGAGGCCACGAAACCCAGGTGTTCCAGATGATTAGAAAAACATTGGAACCATGCCCTAGGGGCCTGTTTAAGACCATACAGAGAGCGCCGCAATTTACAGACATGTGTGGGATATTGAGGATCAACAAAACCTATAGGTTGTTTCATGTAAACTTCATCAGTTATTGAACCATGTAAAAATGCATTTTGAACATCCAGTTGGCGTATAGGCCATGAAAAATGAACAGCCATAGCAATAATAAGGCGGATGGTTGAGTGTGTCACCACTGGACTGAAAGTTTCGCCATAATCAAGACCTGGTTGTTGATGAAAACCATTGGCCACAAGACGAGCCTTAAACCTGTCAATCGACCCATCAGACTTTCGTTTAATACGAAAAACCCATTTATTTGGTAATACATTCATGGTAGGATTATAAGGGACCAAAGACCATGTGCCCGCCCGTTGTAGGGCATTGAATTCATCAGCCATAGATGTCCTCCATTCTTGAAATTTATTGGCTTGACTGTAGCAGGTAGGTTCAGACATAGCAGTGATGGTGGAAGTATGGGCATACTTAGGGTTAGGTTTAGAAATGCCAGCTTTTGCACGTGTAACCATAGGATGGATGGTTGGGGGGGCTATAGTGATTGGGGTTGTCGAAATGGGAGAAGAAGTAGGAGTCGAAGGGTGGGTGATAGAGACGAGTGAGGGAAAGTGATTGTCTGAAAAAGTGTTGGAATGGGTGAGGGAAGTATGGGATAGAGTAGGATGAGATGACGAATTTGGTGGGGATGGAAAAGTGAGTTCAGATGTCCCAAGAGGAACAAGATTGCTATCATGCAGAGAGGATGAGACGGGAGTAACACTGAGATTGTCATGAAATGGAAAACAATTTTCATCAAAAATAACATGTTTAGACATGAAGACACGACCTGTGCATGGGTCAAGACATCTATACCCTAATTGATTTTGAGAATAACCTAAGAAAACACATTTCTTGGAACGAAAATGCAATTTGTGTGACATGTATGGACGGATGTATGGAAAGCAAGCACACCCAAAAACCTTAAAAAAATCATAAGATGGTTCTCGATTAAACAATTTTGTGTATAGAGAAGTTAATTTCAAAACTTTAGTTGGCAGTCGATTAATCAAAAAATTAGCAGTATGTAGAGCTTCAGCCCAATAGGATTGTGGCATGGATGCATGAGCAAGAAGAGTGAGACCAGTTTCAACCAAATGACGATGTTTTCGTTCTGCCATACCGTTTTGTTCAGGATGGTGAGGGCATGTATATTGATGATGAATGCCATGTGTTTCCAAATAAGATTTGAAAGTTTTGTTAATATATTCTCCTCCACCATCCGTTTGAAAAGTTTGGATTTTTGTTTGAAATTTATTCTCCATTTCAGTTTGAAATTTAATAAATGTTGAGAACACATCAGATTTTAGTTTTAATGGATAAAGCCATGTATATCGTGAATAATCATCAATGAAAATCACATAATAGCGAAAACCAGAAATTGACAAAGTAGGGGACGTCCATACATCTGAATGAATAAGTTGTAAAGGAAAATGAGAAATAGAATTTGATGGGGAAAATGGCAATTTCTTGCTTTTGCCCAGAGGGCATGAATGACAGACAGAATTAAAATGGTGCCTAGTAAGAGGCAATTTGCTAGAGGAAGCTAAATGCTTTAAAATAAATAACGAAGGATGACCGAGTCTAGAGTGCCAAATACGATCATCAACCTTGACTCCCATGCACGAAAACAGTCCATGTCTTTTAATGGAATTAAAACTTGAGTAAGGATAAACACCAGTGTTACTCCGGCCTGATAAAAGGATCCTCCCCGAGCGGATATCCTGAACACGGAAGCAATTAGGATGAAGGACAAAGAAACAGTCATTGTCAGAAGAGAATTGATTGATAGATAATATATTTTGAGAGGCATCAGGGCAATATAAAGTATTTTTAAGAGTATAGGAGCTAGTAGGAGAGTAAATAAAAGAGGTGCCTATGTGGGAAATGGGCAAACCTTGACCACCATTAACACCACCGACTTGATCTATGCCTGTGTACTCCTGTGCATTTGTAAGTTGTCCAGGATCATTAGTAATATGTGTGTTCGCTCCAGAGTCCAGAAGCCATGTTGTGGGAGCATGAGATGCAGACTGGGGTACACGGGTTGACTGTGCAGCAAGGGCTGTGAGACGAGCACTTGGAACACGGCCTTCATAAGAAGTATTCATACGGTTGTAACAGTCAATGGCAGAGTGACCATTACGACGACAAATCTGACAGCGAAGTGGTGGACGATCAGACGAAGAGGGACCTGCACCAAGAATACCGCCATGGGGACGTCCTGGATTAGGAGCAGCAGCAACATGTGGGCGAGCCTGATTGCCACTATGAGGATGGACAGCACCACGGCCTCCACCACGGGTAAAGCCTGCATGAGCAGTCTGCCGACGTCCACGATTAGCAAACATGGCAGTCAAGACAGGAGTGTCTCCAGACAAATTGAAGGTAAGGTGACGAGCTTCAGCACTGAGCAGCAATGCTTCCAAAGCAGCATACGAAATAGGATTTTCTCGGGCTTGAATGGAGGCGACTGTGTTCTCATACAGTGGTCCAACATTATTCAGGATCGTGGCAATTAAGTCCGAGTCAGCAATGGGAGAACCAGATAAGGCTAACTGATCAGCCAAGGTGTTGAGTTTGTCCAAATAATCGGCAATACTGAGATCACCACGCCGGAGATTGAGAAGTTCCCCGCGAAGTTGAATAACACGATTGTGGGAGGAAGGTGCATATCGGTCCTGTAAAGCCTTCCAGGCCTCGGCAGCACTAACACATTTGACGACAACATGCATAACAGGAGGAGAGAGAGAACTAGTCAGCCATGATAGAACCATCTGGTCAATTTGGATCCAAGGTTCGAAGAGAGGATTGATGGTGTCAGTGAGCTGACCATCATCATTCAGTTGATGAGCAGAAGGGCACTGAGAAGTGCTATCAACATATGGCATCAAACTGCGACTGCGAAGAAGGGGAACAAACTGGGCACGCCACAAGGGATAATTATGGCAATCAAGTTTGAGAGGGAGAAATGCAGAAACGTTAGTGAGGGCAGCGGAAGAAGACATTGTATGTGAAAGAGAAATATGTCGTAAGACTTGGAAAAGGGATGATACCATAAAAGAATTGTGCTCGGTTATTTGAGCTTCTTTTCATTTTCTGTTTATATAGATCTTTACAAGTATAGTTAATTAGAACTTTACAGGTGTTTCTGCATCTGAGTGTGGGCAGCATTGTTTAATACATGCGTGGGCAGCTTTGCTTGCCCATTTGTTTAATGCATGCGTGGGCAGCATTGCAGAGTCATTCACATGGCTTGGTCTGAGTATGGGCAGCATTGTTTAATGCATGCGTGGGCAGCTTTGCAGAGTCATTCACATGGCTTGGCAGCTTTGCAGAGTCTTTGACATGGCTTGGTTTATCATACTTATCCTATGGGCAAAAGGGCATGGCCCTAACTAACTATGGTCCATATTGGCGGCAAGTAAGGAAGCTTTGCACCCAGCAGCTTCTTTGTCCGTCAAAAATTGAGTCTTTTTCTCCGTTGAGGAGGGAGGAGGTGGGGTTGTTGGTTCAGTCGCTTAAGAAGGCCGCAAAGGCAGGTGAGGTGGTGGATCTGAGTAATAAGGTTGGTGAGCTAGTAGAGAACATAATATATAGGATGATATTGGGGAGCCAAAATGATGATTTGTTTGATGTCAAGGGAATTGTTAAGGAGATCGTGTCCTTGATAGGGTCATTTAATATTGGTGATTATGTGCCTTTCCTTAGTCCATTTGATCTTCAGGTAAAAATATTTCTCTTTAGTCTTTACCAACTTAATTGTTATATTGAATATCTTCTAATGTCATAAATGAAAGGACTATATATTTACACTGTTCTAAAATTTTCGTTTAGCGCTGCATAGGCGTTAGGTGGCTGGTCACCATTCCGATTAATCCATAGGGTTTAGAAAATTAAGAAAGGGTGCCTAAACAAGTCTAGGGGCCTGCCTAGACCCATCAAGGCACCCACTTAAGTCACGACTCTCACTTAGACAGAAAATATATGACTTTAATTTTGCATTTTATTGTTTTTAATATATTGTAAGAGGTACTTGGATGAACCGTCATTATATTCTAGTTCCTCATGCTTCCAATATGTTCTAAGACTTTCTACTCTATATTTCATTCTATTTTTCAATTTATGTATCTCAATACAATTATGTATTGTTTAAGTATAAACATGCATTTATCTATATAATATACAATAAGTTTACTTAAATTCGCCTAGTCCACCTAGGCCCCCACCTAGCCGCCGAAGCGCTAAGCCTCAATCCGCCGCCCGACTAATGCCTAGCTTCTTTTAAAACCTTGTATATTTATCCAATGATATATGTCTTTTATTGAAGGGTTAATTACGCATTACTACCCAACCATTAGAGGTGGAGTAATATTAGAGAGACTAAATTTGTAGATAAAATTTTGTACTCAAAATGTCATAAAAGTTGATGATTGGATTATTACCTCAGTGTTCATTAACATGTAATTTAATATTGGTAACGCATCGTTTAATTTACAAATTTAATCTGCCTAACATTACTCTTAGAGGTGATTCCAAATTGTCCCTAACTTTTTAAATATTCCAAATAATTACCTAATATTTTAAAAATTAGACATCCGTTGTGACACTAAGAGTGAAGTGACAATTTTCCAGTGTTAAGTGATGATGTCATTAATATATGTGGACAAAAGTTAGTTTTCATTTCAGTCTCTCGTCTAATAGCTCCTGCTAGTCATATCACCCGACCAACTTTTCTTCATCTCAGGGATTAACCAAACGCGCGAAGAGAACTAGGGCGACAGCCGACCAACTTTTCGAAAAGATAATTGGAGAACATGAACAGGTTGCTAAGAGTGGGCAATTCCAGTATCATCATCATAAAGACTTTGTGGACGTGCTGCTCTCACTAATGAATCAACCATTAAACCCTAACGACAAGCAAGCCTACATGATTGACCGAACAAATGTGAAAGCCATCTTAGTCGACATGATTACGGGTGCCTTCGACACTTCATCTAACGCAATCGTTTGGAGCCTCGCAGAACTCTTGAGACACCCAAGGGTAATGAAGCATCTCCAACAAGAGCTTCGAACTGTGATCGGGATGGACCAGATGGTGGAAGAGAATGATTTACCAAGGTTTCGTTACTTAAATATGGTGGTCATGGAGAGCTTTAGACTACACCCAGCTGGATCGTTGCTAATCCCTCGTGAATCCATGCAGGACAATACAATCGATGGATATTACATACCTAAGAAATCGAGAATCCTAACTGTAGAATTTTTTATGTGTATTTCATATCAAAACAATTACAAGATGAAACATTATATAGGAAAAGAAAGAGAACATAAGCCTAACTTGCCTAACTTGCCTAACTTGCCTAACTTGCCTAATTTCCTAACTTGCCTAACTTGCCTAATTTACACAAAGAAGGTTGACTAGCCTAACTTCACTAGTCATCCAACATGTTTATTTCATGCATGCATTTTAACAAAAGATATGACTTGCATGCATTCCAACACTCCCGCTCAAGCTGGATCGAGGGGATTCCTTGAGCCAAGCTTGGACAGAATGCGCATGAACTGAACCGTAGGAAGAGGTTTAGTAAAAATAACGCTTTGCTTCTTGCTGCGCCATGTTACCAAATTCCCACTTGAAATGGCTTCGTGCCGCAAACAAACAGTAATGGCTTCGTGCCGCAAACAAACAAACTTGAAATGGCTTCGTGCTGCAAACAAACAGTAATGGCTTCGTGCCGCAAACAAACAAACTTGAAATGGCTTCGTGCCGCAAACAAAGAATAATGGCTGGCTTCGTGCCGCAAACAAAGAATAATGGCTTCGTGCCACAAACTTGAACAACGTTAGGTAGAGCTAAAGCATCCATCGAGCTCTCAGCTTCATAATGTTCTCCAGCCATCTTGGCTTAGAGTAAATGTTCTCCAGCCATCTTGGCTTAGAGTAAATGTTCTTCAGCCATCTTGGCTTAGAGTAAAAGTTCTCCAGCCATCTTGGCTTAGAGTAAATGTTCTCCAGCCATCTTGGCTTAGAGTAAAAGAAACTTAGCGGAAACGATCAACAGAGCATCCATCGAGCACTCAGCTTCATAATGTTCTCCAGCCATCTTGGCTTAGAGTAAAAGAAACTTAGCGGAAACGATCAACAGAGCCAGGAATTTAGAGTTCCTGCTCTGATACCATGTAGAATTTTTTATGTGTATTTCATATCAAAACAATTACAAGATGAAACATTATATAGGAAAAGAAAGAGAACATAAGCCTAACTTGCCTAACTTGCCTAACTTGTCTAATTTCCTAACTTGCCTAACTTGCCTAATTTACACAAAGAAGGTTGACTAGCCTAACTTCACTAGTCATCCAACATGTTTATTTCATGCATGCATTTTAACAAAAGATATGACTTGCATGCATTCCAACACTAACAAACACTTGGGCTATTGGGAGAGATCCCAATGTTTGGTCGGATAATGTGCAACAATTTTACCCTGAAAGGTTTATAAATAGCAATGTTGACGTCCTGGGACATGACTTCCAGCTTCTACCATTCGGGTCTGGCCGAAGAGGGTGCCCTGGTATACAGTTAGGGCTAACCACAGTTCGGCTGGCTTTGGCGAACTTGGTTCACCGCTTTAACTGGGACCTCCCGAGCGACCTCCTACCTGAAGACGTGGACATGGCTGAGACGTTCGGCATGGCGCCGTCAAAAGCCCAACACTTGCTCGCCGTACCAACTTACCGGCTAGAGACTAATTAATTAGACATTCGTCCATTTGCTATGTATCGGATGGGTGAAAATAAATTGTCTATTGCAATTATAAACAATAAGGTCAAAGTGACAAATCAATTAGTAGTTAAAATAATCTTATATAAAGTAAAGGAGAAGCGGAGAACCTCTAAAAAGTAAAAAATAGAAGGATAATTGGATATGTTGATTAGTTTTCATATTTGATAAAATATTGAGAAAGGTATCAATTGTATCCAGCATCTGTATATTTGTCATAAAAAAGCAACCCCACCAGCCCCCTCTTCCCTTGGTAGCTTGTCCCCATCCCCAGCCATAATGTTTCACCACCTTTACCCCTCTCCCATCTCAGATATTTCACCATCCATCCACTGTCATGTAAGCGCGGCCACAGAAGAAGAAATGTTGTTGCGATGAGTAGCAGCGTGTGGTGTGCAATCAAAAATTTTCATCCTCTTATATATTACATATGAGTATAAATTTTTAATAAAAAAATTTTTGACTGAAAAGAAAAATCATTACATATGATTTTATTCATCCTCTTAAACTGTAATACTATGTGACTGTTAAATTTTAGGCCTAATTGGATAAATGGTCCCCGTGGTCATAAGGTATTCGGATGATAGCCCCTGTGGTAAAAAAATTCGGATTTAAACCCCTGTGGTCTAAGTCTGTTAGGATTTAAACCCCTGTGGTATAAGTCTGTTAGGATTTATGCCCTTCTGTTAAATAATGCTGATGTGGCTGCCACATATGCCACGTGGCTGCCAAATGTCTGTCACGTGGCAAAAATAATAATTTTTAATTTTTTTTTTTAAAACCTGAATTTTTACAAAAAAACAAAAACAAAAAAAAAACAAACCCAGATCTGCAAGAAGAAGAAGAAGGAAGAGGGAGAGGGAGGAGGGCGCGGGGAGAGGGCTCCGGCGAGGGGGGAGCTAGTCTCCGGTGGGAAGAAGAAGAAGAAGAAGAAGGAAGAGGGAGAGGGAGGAGTCGCGCGGGGAGACCGGCGGGAAGAAGAAGAAGAAGGAAGAAGGAGAGGGAGGAGGGTCGCGCGGCGCGGGGGGGGCGGGGAGCTGGCCTCCGGCGGGAAGGAGAAGAAGGAGAAGAAGTTTGGCGGGGGGGGGGGGGACGGGCGGAGGGTGGGGGGAGTTTCTGGGGTTTTTTTTTTTTGTAAAAATTCAGGTTTTAAAAAAAAAAATTAAAAATTATTATTTTTGCCACGTGGCAGACATTTGGCAGCCACGTCAGCATTATTTAACAGAATGTCATAAATCCTAACAGACTTATACCACAGGGGTTTAAATCCGAATTTTTTTACCACAGGGGTTATCATCCGAATACCTTATCACCACGGGGACCATTTATCCGATTAGACCTAAATTTTATAATATGAAGGTAAAATAAGAAACTTCTGAAATATTGCATTAATCGGTTCAATCCCATTTACACAAACGCAAAATGCAATGCTCTGTACACGTATGTCATTCATATATCATGCACTAGATCGGTATCATCGATTCATCATTGCATGATAACCTTCTCAGGGATTGAACAAGCGCATGAAGAGACTTCAAGACAATCGACCAATTTCTGGAGAAGATAATTGGCGAACACGAACAAGTTTCTAAAAGTGAGCAACTACAAGGCCGCCCTCAAAATCATAAGGACTTTGTGGAGATGCTGCTTTCATTGATGAACCAACCATTAAACCCCAACAACGAGCAAGTCTACGTAGTCGACCGAATTAATGTGAAAGCCATCTTACTGGACATGATTTCGGCTGCCTTTGACACGTCAGCGACTGCGATTGTATGGAACCTTGCCGAACTCTTGAGGCATCCTAGGGTAATGAAGCTTCTCCAACAAGAGCTCCAAACCGTGATCGGAATGGATAGAGCGGTGGAGGAGAGCAATTTGCCAAAGTTGGCCTACTTGAACAAGGTTGTCAAAGAGAGCTTTAGGCTACATCCGGTAGCACCGTGCTGATTCCACGTGCATCCATGGAGGACATCACGGTTGATGGATATCATATACCCAAGAAATCCACCATCTTTGTGAACATCTGGACGATTGGGCGAGATCCAAGTGTATGGTCAGATAATGTGGAAGAGTTCTACTCTGAAAGGTTTAATGACAGTGACGTTGACCTTAAGGGGCATGACTTCCAGCTTTTACCATTTGGGTCCGGAAGAAGGGGGTGCCCTGGCATGCAACTAGGGTTAACCACGGTTCGTCTAGTTCTGGTAAATTTGGTCCACTGCTTCAATTTTGATCTCCCAAGTGGCCTCCTTCCTAACGAGTTGGACATGACTGAGACTTTTAGGCAGTCGCTGTCAAAAACCAAACACTTGCTTGTCGTGCCCACGTATCACCTACACGATTTAACATTCATAGAGATTAGGTTTTGCATATGGTGTGTATATACCATTGTTCTAAAAATTCTCGCCTAGTGCCATTTAGGTTCCGTCTAGCACACCCTCGGCGTTTGAAAATTAAGAAATAGCGTCTAGCCTACCTCGGTCGCGACTCTCACTTACAAAATAAATAACTTTTATTTTGCACTTTATTTTGTTCAATAAATCGTAAGCGGCTTGTTGAATACTTAGATGAATAATCTATGTTATTTTATTTTGCAATTTATGTATCTTAATACAATTATGTATTTGTTTTTTATATTTTGCGATTTATATATACATATACTCAATAATAAAGTACCTATTTTTCTTTTTTTATCGCATTTGTTACGTTAGATCGCCAAACCTAAATAAGATAATCGATGACTTTATTGTAAAGATTCATCATCATATTCGTGACATTGTTCCAATCATTCAAAAGGACCATAAACAAAATGTAATCTAACACAACTGGCAGGGTTTAGTAATTTAACTAATTTAACAACAACCACCACCACTAAACCTTATTGTACTAAGTGGGGTCGGCTGTATGAATCATAGAATATAATTATGATCGGTTTTGCGCCAGCCAAGTATGTTGTCCTCAATATAACCAGTTTATCAAATGAAATTTTTGTTCTATCCCCGAGTTGTTCTGGCTGTATATATACACATATCCGACACCTCCCTTGAGTCCCATATGATTATTCTGTTAGCAATAGCCGTCGTCCTCCTTTTTTAGCCTCCTTTTGTCTCTCATTCACATTCTAACCTCTTGATTCCGGAGTCCAAACCACCGAAAACTGCCGGCTGGCCCCTAGGGCACTACCGATCATTGGTAACCTTCATATAATAGGTAAGCCCTCCGACGCCTACCCAAAAATTATGGACCTATAACGTCCATTCGCCTAGGCAACAAAACCACCATCGTCCCCCAAGCCGGAGAGCTACTTTTGAAAACCCACGACACCGTTTTTGCTAGCCGCCCCAAATTCCAAGCCCGAGTACTTATCCGATGGTGCAAGGGGCATTGTCTTGACTGAACATGGATGCTATGCTATGTAAGAAAATCCTAGTAGCATTAGATGCTACGTAAGATATCTAAACTACTCTAATATACAAGACTAGGAGATTCGAATTTGGAAGCAAGAGGTGGGCGGGGCCAAGGCCCTGGCCACCCCCATCCACGTCAAAGTGGCAAATAAAATAAGTTCAAAGATGGCTTGTGCTAAAACAATAATCTTTCAAACACGATTACGATTTATATCATAAGAACAAACTGTAACTGTAATCCTGGACATTTAAAAGTAACTATACCTTCAAAAACTGCGAGCGCAAAGCGATACTCTGCTTTAATACTACATAACCATTTCAATCAAAACAAAATTTTGCTCAAAGTTCTAAGACTTGAATGTTGTCTAGGAGTAAATACACCATTGCATTTGCCTTCGGTCGGAAAAACAAAATATCACCAATGTTGCCAAAAATAGGACATCCTCCCCTTCTCTAGCTCGTCATCGTCTGCCAAAAACAGAAAAGAATGCACACGATTAAGTTTACGTTTTGAACTCTGAAGAATTATCAGTTTCGCTTTAGTATTATGGAATGACCACGGGAGAAAATTAATGTCGAAATATTGGTTTTGCATGAAAGCAATGTCAAGAGATAAAATAGCACACACGCCACAAGGAACACCTAGTGCAACATAAGTAGGCGGACTGCATAAATTACTGAAGTATCAGGAAAAACCCCGGTTGTGCAGAAAAGGACTGCACTCCTCTACATCTACCTTAAAATTAAGAAAAGGCAAAACAGAAGAGAACACACTACTTATTACAACACAACAGGATATAGCACCAGACCAACACCACAAACCAGCATATGAGAACCAAGTGTGATAAGCTGAAAATATCACGCATAAATTAGGGCTGGTTTGGTATTGTTGTGCTTTGAAAAAAAACTGCTTCTGCTGTGCTATGAGAATAAGCTCATTTTTGTTGCTTCACGTTTTCAACTTTTTTTCACCCAAAACTTTGAAAGTAAGCTGTTTTTAAGTGTTTACCAAACACCTTTTTGAGCTCAGCTTTTTTTTTTATACCCACTTTTTATGAAAGCACTACCAAACCAGTACTTAGTCCATGACCCTCTTACTAAACAAAGCAGCCAGACTAAACGAGACAAGAAAGGAGAAAAGGAGACATGAAACGGATACAACACAAATAAGGAGACGATTTTCACACACAATTTTAACACCATCAACTTTCATCAATGGATCCAAGAAATCACAAACAATCCGTTTGAAAGTTGAACTCTTTGTAATATTTCTTACCAATTAACTGACAGATTTGGTCAACTGATATGACCACTTCCGCTTCCAAAAGGATGAATCCTTAGTAGTGAGCTTGATTATCGAACCTGAGAAGGAGAACATAGCAACCCAGAAGCATCTGCCCCAACCACTGCAAGATCACAAACAGTACAGAACTGCCCTTCTTGAGTTGCCACAAACCGTGAGCTACAATATGGGCAGGAGACGTCCCTCTGTCCTCGGTAAATTGGTACATGTGTTGCCCCACAAATCACAAATGGGTTTCTGAAATCATAGTTCAGTTGAGA